GATCTCTCATTTTCAACAATAAAAGTCATTATATGTATATATGGAAAATGGTACTGTTATATCGATGGTTGTTGAAGTTGTATCAATAAGTAGTAATATGCATTAATGTGAAATAGTGAATACAACAAATTAACCAACTCTAATCTTAGTCATTCAATAGACGCTCTAAGCCTGAATGTATACAAGGTGAAAATATTTAACTGTCATTATTCTGACTCATGATTTCTTTCCCTATTGGGCAAATTACTATTCCTTTGCTTCACATAGTTGGTGTTTTTTTCTCCATTTTCATAGATAGAATAGGCTGATAAGTGATATATCATGTGTAAAAAGGTATTCTTGTGTTCATTAGATGTGTTATTTTATGTTTCTGCATCATGTGTGTTTGTATAGCTTGACGATTGTTCTTATTTATGTTAGGAACAGGTGTTAATGGTTTAAACCTGTCTGATGAATTCGCCTACTAGTTACCATCGATCATTTTGCAAAGAATTCGATCAGTACTAAGAGCTATACAACATGGGATTGGTTACTCTTCAGTTTTAAGATAGGTCAGTCGTAGTCTGAATAGCTCAGTGGTGACGTAGCTGACTACAACACTGAGTGATACGGGTTCGAATCTTAGAGTTGGTATGAGTTCCATCGAGGTTGCAGATACGCCTTACTGACTATTGCTAACAAGCACGGCTTCCTGCCGATTGCCTCCAACTAACTAATATCCATCAAAGTTCACCGTGATAGTTAGCCTCCTAACCAGGTGACCGCACTACAAAATGGTCGACAGAATTTAATCATCACTCAGGACTAGACAACATGAAATTGGTTAATCTCTAGTGGCTAGTTAATGTAAGTAGTTACCTTTGTAATAAATATTTGATGTGAAAACTACATCTGATTTGGTCAATCATCGAGTCTGATCGTATTATCCCCTATTGAAGAAGATTCCTAGCAAGTATGTAACTTTATTGATCCTATGACTGGTAGTACGAGTGATACGGGTCTAGAAAATTACGAACGATACGAACATAACGCATAACAAATCGACTCTAACGCAAATCAGAACGTCAACCACCACAACAACAATATCATCGATACGCAAAGACAAGAAAAACCGTTGAAAGAAAGCTTTTTGTACTGGATGATAATTGAAGTCAAGATGAAAATTTCAACTGCGGCCGGATTCGAACCAGCCGACCATCGGGTTACCGGCTCAATGCTCTATCAACTAAGCTACGAGAAAGCTTTTCACTATCTTAACAATAGTCAATACAGTTGACAACTGTGTTGAATATATACATTTCTAAATGACCTTGATAATACTAAATCCACATATAGTTAACGACCAATAAGAGTTCGTGTAGGTTATTTTAAAGTTATGGGCAAAGCAGCAGGCAAAAGCTATGCAATTAAAAGAAATTTTGTCGAACACTTTTGCTTCTTATTGATAACTAGGTGATAGTTGAAGGTGAAATAAAAATTTAAGTCACAGCAAGATGTCAACTAGTCACCTTCGATTTACCGGCTTTATTGCTTTACTAACTAACCTATGAGACTCAACTGCTGACTAGGTGTTCATTTCATTTGTATGCCAAGTTGCTATATGAATCCCTGAAACTTAACTATCTGTTCATCGTATTTACACTAGTTAGACAATCAAAAACCAATATACTGTATAGCAATATACTTGTGTTATTATTTGATTGTAATTTATGATTATTCAAGTTAAAAGGTATACGCAAACCATGATTATTTGATGATCCCTAGTACCTTCTATATCTGTTTGCATTCAATCTAGCCATCAAAATCAAAAGTTGAACAAGATGAATCATTTGCTGAGGTTGTGAAACTTAATCGACTGAGATAGTTTGGACATGTATCATCCTCATCTAGTTAGTGGTAGCAGTGACATTCTGTGTTAGTACTAATAGGGGGGGGGGTATGGTGGAGCAAGTCTGGGGGCGGGAGGTTAACTAGATCAAAACATCCTAACACTACAAGAAATCGATAACTGTTAGTCGAAGTTATATAGGGGGACGCTGTAGACTTCGTAACTTATCTTCATGTGATAGTTAAGATTGACTTTATGAGACCATCCATGGAGGTATTAGGAGTTAGGTAAACTTTCCATAATTCATTGTTCATTAGGTCTTAAGCTTTTACTATCTGTTACATATGCTTTATTCTATATCCTTAACCTTTTTACCATTCGTTTTTTCTTCTATTGCTTTATCTTTTGTTCCGGTGATTCCTTCTTGTTGTATTCTAGACTGTTACGCAGTATTACCAGGTTAGAGTTAGGCTGTTTGTCTCCATCTATCTTGATTTGTATGAATAATCATATACCTCAAGCTTGAATCACTTTTGTTTGTCAATTGTATATTTCCCACTATAGGCTAACTTCACTGGCTGATGAATGATTATCGTGGGTTTTTGGCTAATAATAAGGTGATAGGTGAAAAGATGATGTTTAGAAAAATGATCGCCGATAGCTAGTACCTTGATGTCGTAGTCGGTTGTGCATATCAAAATCACCCACTGATTTATGCTGGTGAAACGCTTGTTCCCTCGAGGTCCTACCATGCCTGAAATGTCTTTTGGGTAGTGAGAGGAGAAAAAGCACTACACGATAATAGGGGTCTGAGGGTGAAGTCGTATTGCTGCCAGCTGGATGGGATGTGCTAGCACTAAAGTCAACCGACGCCTAACTGGAGCTCGAGAACACCAAACTCGAGGAAATCATGGACGATGATGTATCGACCACATTTTCACCCTCCAACAGGTTCTCGAACACAGGTGCATACCCACCGGTCAATGATAGATACTTGTTATATTTCCTGACCCGTAAATGGCATCTGACTCTGTCAACCGTGAGGTGGTGTGACAAATATATAACGCTAATCAAAGCTATCTACTCGAACTCACGCACACGTGTCAGGGTATATGGACAGTTGTCATCAGAATTGACGACAACTAGTGGTGTCCACCGGAGATGTCCACTGTCACCGTTACTATTTAACCCCATCATAGGCACACTAATTGACATAACGCTAAGTAAGTCTGACTTTACAGGGATTGATCTACCACACTACAGGTCATCTGTTTGACACGAAGTACACAGACAACATTGTCCTACTAGACGAAGACGCTTACAAAATTCACGGTTTCCTCAACATAACATCTTGAGCAGAAATCTGTGTATGTTTGGCACACATTTTGCCTGTACCCGTCAAATGTAAGATGCTGCTGTAGGACTAGTTTGCTGCCATTACCTTACCCTCAGTCTAATGATGGAATGAATTGGTGGAATACGTGGACCACTTCATTTACTTGGGAAGTTGCATCAGCCCTAACGGTTTGGTTGCTGACGTAATCTCAGCTCAGATACAGAAGACCTGTTTGATATTTGCTGACTAGCGTCATCTGTGGCACCGACTGGTGAGATATCCAACTATCAATGAGAGAACAATTAAACTGTGCTGCAGTTCCTTCTGTCCTGCTATACACCTGAGATAGATGGATAGTAGCTATCAGTGGAATCCAGCATACGCATTTCGTCCCATTTGGGACTCGTCAGCTGGGTGTGCCCACCTCCCAGTGAGTGATGTCGTTTCCACCAGGATTCGGACTCCGAAGAGATCGCTTCAGACGCGAGCCACGATAGCCACTATGCATCTTTGCTATAACTAGAACTACACAGGTATATCGAAGCATTCTTACAGCAGCCCAAATGTCAATAGAGACCAACCAACTCGGTCCAATCAACGACGGTATAATACAAGCAGTAGTTGAATTAGGTTTGAAGAAGGTTCAGGTTGACGAGACCATGACATGGAACCAGTCTATTAAGTCCCTGACTGTTGGTGTGAGCCATGTTGTGAAATATAGACTACCTGATTCGGTTCGTAAAACTTAGAGAATCAGTGGTTGAGGACTGTAGGAGAAATGGCTGAAAACTGGTGATAATGACGTAGATGTATTCACTTCTTTGCTTGTAATTTGTTTTCATGATTTAACTATGCCTTCTAAACCTACCATGTACTCTCGCGAAGTTTCAAAGTGTTTTCAACTAGGCGCTTCTTGAATAGATAACAAAACGATGGGAAAAAAAGTGAAGTTTCATGGAGATGAACTTTTTGGAGTGCCAACATTCATTGTATTTCTGCTCCTTGTATGCTTAGCTCGAATTTCAGATTCCTATCTTAATGAACCGTCACCACTAAACGGTTTTTTGTACATCCTGCATTCTAGATTAGAAGTTAATCTACCACCAGCTGACTGTTTCCCAGTATATCCTGTAATATTGCTACTGTTAGCAATACTTGTTTATAGTAACCATTACGTTTAAAAATATTGTTCAGCTAAAATACCATCATGAGGAATCATGCTGCTGTCCACCCCAAGCAAAATGTTATGCCGCATCATTCTGGAGAGACTAAAATATCCTCTGAATTCAAAATTACGACCGGAACAGGCTGGATTCAGGAAGAACGTATCATGTGCGGATCAAATTGTAACGCTACGCATCATCATAGAACGGAGCATAGAATGGTAGTCAACTCAAACTTTGCTTCATCGAAATTGAAAAGACCTTCGACAGCGTCGACCGAGAAATAATTTGGCAGTTGCTTCGACACTACGGAGTGCCACAAATCTTTATCAACCCCATTAGACAGCTACATGAAGCCACATGCTAAGTAATCCACAATGGAAAGCTCAGTGACGCCTTCGAAGTTAAGACAGGGGGGAGTAAGACAAGGCTGCCTACTATCACCGATGATCTTCCTGATTATGGTCAACTGGACTGGACTGGAGTATGCCGCAAACAGTGAGGAGTGAGAGGATGGGCATACGGTGGCTGGATTGATGAAAAGACACCAAAAGAAGATTTGGATTTCGCCCATGGTGATTTATGTATAATTTCGCGCAATCTCTAAGATCTACAGGCAAAAAGTAACAGGTTGATAGGAGAGGCAGCGAAGGAAGATGGGACTTCAAGTGAACGTAGAGAAGACAGAGGTGATGAACATGCCCAAGCAACAACAGCAACAACAACAAGCACCGATAACCATTAACGGGAGAAACCTAAAGGAAGTAGTCTCTTTCACCTAGCCAGGTAAGGCAGCATTGTTTCAACTACAGGATGCACAGCCACAGATGTGGATGTCGAAGTCAGGATGGGAAAGGCAGCAAGATGGGCTTTCACTAATCGGAAATCAGTGTGCAGATCTACTGCAGTCAGCATAAAGCGTGAACAAGATCCAGATTTTCAACACCAACGTCAGTCAAGTCAGTTCTGCTTTATGGTTAAAAAACTTGGTGCATTACGAAAAGCATTCCTAACAAACTACAGACATTCATCAATAGCTGCCTACGCTGGCATGTTACTGAAGCTCAGATGGCCGGAAAGAATAAGCAACAAGGAACTCTGGCTGGCTGGCAACGATCAACCAAGAACCTATCACTTAACTAATATGCAGTAGAAGGAAGTGGAGATGGATTGGGCATGAACTGAGAAGACCATTCGAGGACATCACTTGTCATGCCAGTCCCTCGAGTGGAATTCAAAGGGGAAACGACGAGTTGGGCGTTGTAGGCGAGGGTGACATGGAGGAGATGATGTGAGGAAGAAATGAGAGCTTATGGGCGGTCGTGGAGCGAGGTTGAAAAGACTGCAGAGAAGAGAGTGGAGTGGAGACGTGCTAGTGAATCCCTATGTTCTACTGGGAACCGACGGGATTAATGATAATAATGTGCATGGAGGCTGGTGAACTAAAACCCCTCTCTGGCCGACTGTGTAAGGGCCAGCGATCGTAACTTCTCGACCGCACGGGATGACCATAATCTCTTCCAATTTAGTTCGACGGGAGAATTTTAAATGAATCTAGTAGAATTGCTGGATACTGGGACATACATTTCATCATGCTAATTAAAGATAAAAATATTGGAAAAGCATTACTGTTCCTGATATCTATACCTTTCTTAAAAATCAATCATTCTAAGGGTGAAAAATTCTTTTATTCTTCCTTATATATTTGCAAATAAACACACATACACACAAAATTTCCTCTGACGTTTTGTGATGACTCATTGGCACATGCGTCAGGATGTTCCATAGCATAGGTTTCTTTTCAAGGTTCTTGAACCTATCTGAGATGCCATATTGTGTATGTGTGTACGCCATTAGTCACCAGACGTGTTGTAACGACCTTGACCAGCAACCTCCTATTATCGCGCTTTGCGTAACTATGACAACGATCTGTTTAGCATACTTGGCGTTTCCATCTTTTTTTATTTGGATTTCTTGATGGATGTGAAATAATTTTACATTGTGTACTGTTTCTGTTAAACAAATTTTCCGAAATATTGATTACTGTACGGCAGTATTTTCCATCTTTCATATTCCGTCAATAAACCGGGTTGACCTTACTTACGTCTGTCTACCGAAAAACAGTTGTACGCTTGCATTTCTTTCTGTGTGGGTGATCTCACTAATTAATTGGCAATAACCATTATCTGTTCATTAGCCTTTGGTTGAACATTGAAAAAAAAGTTTATCTTGGCATCTGGTATAGTAATAACACTCATAGTGCCAGTAGTAATAAGTGTCGGCGTCGGCAGCAGCAGCAATAGAAATGTGCAAGAATAAAACTAGGCTTTGTCTGAACATTTGAATCCTGGGAGCACTGGACAGCTGTCTTGTCCTAGTATGGGATTCTTCAGCAGTGCACACCCATGACCCCACCAGGGGTCGAACCCAGAACCTTCAGGTTCCCTGGCCAGCACGTTACCGTTGAGACACTGGGTCGATGGAATCCAGTGGTCCATATTTCCAACATCTTTCGGTTCACAACATAGCGTGACCACCACCCTGTCATCGTTGAGTATTTGTCCTCATGTCCACCAGGGTTGTAAATCATATGGTATCTTTTAACATAGATATTTTTTTTGTATCAATTCTTTGGGGTCAATCGGCAAGCAGTCGCACTTGCGTGTTGGTGCTCGTGTCAGCAAACCATATACGCAACCATGAAGATTCTGATGTCCACTCGGTGACTTGAATCTGGATCACTCATTACTGGAGTCAGACACTTTACAACTGACTCCATTATGGATTTGGCTGTGTACATGAATTGGACACCAATGGATAACCAATATAGAGCTAGCTTGGTCTTAATGCTTAGCATGGATCGAAGTCGATTAATCAACTTCTCTAATGTCCAGTGCTCTCAGGTTTTCAATGGTTCTCCAATTGATGTCAAGTCCGTGGTGAATACTATTTTAAAAAATAATAAAATCCCCATAGACCTCAGAATATCTACCATATAATTAAAATGTTATTTTTGAGAAAGAAAATTTCCGCTGGTTATTTCTTATTTGTTCGTTGATAAATTTGTTTCTTTGTTGATAAATTTTTAGAACTCTGGTGGCAGTAATGATCTAACAATATCAAACAGTCCACGACGCAGTCCACGTGTCAATAATTCCAACCATCTAGTAACACCAAGCACAGTGGAACCTGTCTATAATGCTGCTGTATCTGCCACGTCGACAGGTGGAGGTTTACAAGCTTGTGTATCTGTTCATTGTTCGTCAAATCTTTTATTGAAATCATCATCAACATCAATACCAACCACTACGACTACAGGAAATGTTGACTCGATACTTTTGAATAAATCATCTTTATCTTCACGAATTAATACAGTTGGTAGTAATCAGATTACAGCAATAATGACAGGGAATCAAAAACATGGGAATTTATCTTCTCATCCTCCTCCACCCCCTCTTCCACAACACCATCATCACAGCCAACAACAACAACAACACCAACCGGAAAAAACAGTTGAAGTGATGGTTGATGATCCAGCCAATGAAATGACCATCAGTGAATTACGTTCAATAGCTGAACGTCAACGTCAACAATTAGCCAGACAAGCTCAACAACTTCAGGCTAGAGAAGAACGTCGTGCATGGCTTCGTTCCCTGAATTCCCAACGTTCAGCACTCAATAGATGTGTTGAAAATGAAAAGGTAAGTGGAAGACAGATGATGCGTTTTTCTTGTGTTTTCGACCACAGTGATGTTTAAGATACATTCATAATTCCCATTGTTACATCAAACACAAGATATTCAGTGTGAAGAGGATTCTTTCCAACGTATTTATTCTCAACATGTACATTCGTGTATATATGTACTTCATATTTAAAGACAGTAATACATGAGGAAGATTTAAATTAAATAATCAGAGGTTGAAATAACAAAAATGGAATGAAACACACCAAGACCAAAATAAGTTAAAGTCAAGGTAGAGACAATGATTGTACATATTTCTTTGAAATACAAAGATCAAACTGAATTCAGTTCATGGATAGCCAAGGCCTTTGCTATCTTCAGAAGTTGAAGACGGAGGAAAAGTGAGATGTTTGAGCGAATTCGATAGACAACCTTAAAATTATTGTTTGGTTCGTTTGAATGGTTGGAACTGATTAAATGTTCAAGAATCGAACTTCTAATGGATTTCCTTTCACCCTTATTAAGTCAGGCTAGAGTATGTTTTTGTATACGTGTTGACAGTAATCTCTGACTACAGTCGATGTACCTTGCTCTATAGGAGCAGGTGAAGTAGTAAGGATACACATGGAGGTGACATGTCGATGGATATTATCTCTTTTACACAAACGGAGAACAATTTACGACTAGTGAAGGTCAAATGAGGTTTGACTGAGAAGAAGAGTCCTACAAATTGATGTGGAGAGATGATTTTTCAGGCTGTCTGATGCTACATCACCTTTAAATTCTATATTTATGAAGAAAGTGTTTTTAGAAAGTGAGCTGCTGACTGATTTGGTATGTCTTTGTTGCATAATGTTATCGATGAATCGACTAGGATATGCGTTTTCTGCAAGCATCCCTTTTAGAAAGTCAAGTTGATTGCGTGCTACACTTATCAGGTGGTATGTGTATTGGATAGGCGAGTGAGTGAATGAGGTTTATTGTCGTCATAATCGGCACTCAACTGTAAGAATTAATAGGCTGTGAGTTGCACATGTGTTTGCTGTGTATGGATGTTTTCAGCGTTCGATTACTGCATCTTGTAATCAGCACGTGAAGGAAAGTAATAGCTGATTTGAATTCCCTTTCCATAGTGAATCCCAAGTCTTAGTGTGGTTCGTCTTTTTAATGTTTTTTGAACTTGCCCATTTGTTAGACTAATCTTTTTACTCTTATATGATTATTATCATTTTTATATTTAGTAGTTCCCGGTATTAGTTTATATGATCTTCGTGATAATTGAAACTGTAGCAAACATTTTTCTTTTAGTACTCATCACAGACTAACATTAGTTGGAGGACCGTTGAAATCCTGGTAACACTGGACACCTGTTTCGTTCTAGTATGCGACTCCTCAGCAGTATTCTCTGGTCACCCTACTGGTAACGGATCGAACTCAGGACCTTCAGCGACTGGAGGGTCGAGGTTCAAGAGTTCACACTTTCGTACTTCTGTCAATTCGCAATATAGAGCGACTTATCACCCAAGGTCTTGAGATAGCATCCGCTTCCCTTTTGACTGGTTGACCCCACAGGTCGTAGCTCCTTATTAGAACTTTGTGATATCCATCAGGAAGCATGTCTCTGATGAACACTATATAGTAATGTATTTTTGAGATGAACCGAATTCTGAGACGAAGCAGCTGTCCTTTGCTTCCAAGTTTTCAATGATTCTTCAACTGATGTCGGTTCGTGATGAAAACTACCTGAAAATTAAAATCCTCATTCATCTCAATAAAAAAAACATTTTCTAGTTATTCCGATTAGCCTGTTGTCTCATTGGTATTACCTAATCTCTTGATATTTTTTGTCAACTCTACCATCTTTTCGCCCTTTATAACTTAAATGTACCTTATAAACGATTTAAAAGTCTTACACGACCCTTTTTGTAGTCATTCAACTTTTACGTCATCAATAGCAACATTATTATTATAACTACCATTATTGTTATTTCAACCTCCTATTATTAAAGTTAAATCTTCCTCACGGATTACTGTCTTTAAATATCCTGCACATATATACACGAATGTACTTGTTGAGAATAAATTCGTTGGAAGGAGTCCTCTTCGTTGAATATCTTGGAGGTAGATGCTGATTAGCTCTACTAACAAGACCTCAATTACCTATTATTTAACATAACTGAATGAATATGAATGTAGTAAGGGTGTGAAGCTGGTAAAGAGCATTTTATGAACATCTTTTCAACTACAGGTGGCGTCGATGATACACCTAACAATGTCAAAGCCAGCATCTGAAAAACAGCATCACAGGGCTTCCTCTATTAATCTAAAGTAATCAGTGTGGAGATCTACTGCACTGCACTGCACTGCACTCCACTCCACTCCATTCCACTCCACTCAGCATCAAGGAGGAGAATCGGATTTTCAGCACTAATATCCAGTAAGTCAGTGCTTCGATGTGATGGTTGAGAAACTTGGCGCGTGACAAAAACCATTTCCAACAAACTACACACAAACATCACATGAACAGCTACCACCTACGCTCACTCAACACTCACAATGAAGATGAGATGGATGGCGAGAATAATAAGAATAAGCAAGAAGGAAGTTTGGCTGACCTGGTAACGAAGCAACCAACAACATATCGTCTAACAAATATGCAGATGGATTGTACATAGACTGAGAAGACGGTTTTGGTACATCATGTGATACTGCAGGGGGAAAATGTAGTGGGAAATGACGATTTGGGTGTCTGAGGTGAGGGTGAAATGGAGGAGATGGTGTGAGTAAGAAATGAAAGATTGTGGTGAGTTGTGGAGGCAGATGGAAAAGACTGTAGAGAAGAGAGTGAAATGTTGATGTGCTAGTGAAGCCGTATGTTCCACTAGGAACCTAAGGAACAAATAATAATAATCATAATGTCTTCCTTGGTCAGGTCAGGGATAAGCGCTGCACAAATTTATTTTTAACACAAAAGTTTAGATGATTCATTCAAATTCCTATAATTATAGGTTAAAAGCGAAATAGAACTCAATGGGAAAGCTCGGATAAGATGCGGTAAATCAAACTGAACGTTTTCGTTTTATCTACTCTGTGATCACAATCAACTAGCTGCAATAAAATACAGCTTGCTATAGATTTAACCTGTCCTTTTCCCAACCGTGAAATGGTACACTGGGTATTACAGTCTCCATTATTTTATTATTTTTATTTTTTGTCCCTTGGGTTCCCAGTGGAACATAGGGCTTCACTAGCACGTCTACACTCCACTCTCTTCTCTGCAGTCTTTTGAACCTCGCTCCACGACTGCTCACAACCTTTCATTTCTTCCTCACACCATCTACCCTATGTCACCCTCACCTCGGACGCCCAACTCGTTGCTTCCCATCTGGGTTCCACTCGAGGGACTGGCCTGACACGTGATATCTTCAATCGGCCTTCTCAGTGTATGCCCAATCCATCTCCATTTCCTGCTACTGAATATTTGTTGGGCGATGGGTTCTTAGTTGGTTCGTTGCCAGCTAGCCAGCCAGAGTTCCTTGTTGCCTATTCTTATTATTCTGGTCATCTGATTTTCAGTAATGAGCCAGCGTAGACAGTTGTTGATGGATGTCTGTAGTTTGTTGGAAATCCCTTTCGTAACGCGCCAGGTCTCTTAACCATATAGGAGCACTGACATGACATTGGTGTTGAAAATCCGGATGTTGTTCACGCTTTACGCTGAGTGCAGTGCAGAAGATTTCCACACTGGTTTCAGGCTAATAAACGCCTGTGTTGCTATCTTTCTGATCCTGGCTGGCTTTGACATCCTCGTCTGTGTCGTCTGTAGTTAAAACAGTGTTACCTAGATAGATACTATCTCCATAGAAGCAATTTACAAAACTCGATAACTTTATCCTTCATTCTTCTCGAAACAATTTGTCAACCAGAAGAGGATGATAAATTTTTTTTTCTCAGTGGTTTTCAATAGTCTATGGGAATAGGATCTCATTGGATATTAGATCCTTTATTCAATTATAGCTTTATGAAAAGTGGTTCCTTTTGTAGGGTTCCCACCTCATATTCCCCAGTTTGGATTCATGCTGCACAAAATTTGCATTTAAATGTAATGTCTTGTGTACAGTTTTTTTTAAAAAAAACATTTTTTCTCTCTATTTAATGCTTGTTTTTTTTTTCATCAATGTTTTCATCTCTGTACCCATCTTGATTCAGCTGTCGAATAAACCATCAGATTTAAGTCAAGAACAAGAAATTCGACTGCATAAATTACGTGGTTTTCGTGGTCAAACAGAACAAGTTCGTTTGAGTAATGAAAATTTAAGTGAGTCGCCTTTTGTTTCTTTCGCTTTACAGTATGCAGAAAATATTCAATGTGATTTTATGCGGTTAAAAGTTTTATCCATTCATTGTAATTGATTCCATTATTGTTTATATATTCATCATCAATGTATGCATGGCATTGAAGTCATGTATTATACGAAACAGGCGTTAAACAGTAGCTAACTTGTGGACTGTTTGCTGAAGAAATCTCAGGACGTATACTGAAATCCCTTTCGGTATTTCCAAATTTACATGATTTCTTCTGACTGTAAATCACCTAGTTACCCGTCAAAGGATGAGTTTATTCCTCATCTGTTTCCTTTGTCTTACCCTGTAACTGGCATTGCTATGGTTGAACGTAGAAGTTAATGTCTTTTAATGACGGATGTCTATGTGGCATTGTTCGTTTATGAGATGATAGATTGAGCAATTGTGAGGTTATAGTGGGGAATATTTGTAACTCAGGTGGATGGTCTTGGTTGTATTGTGTTCTTCAATTAAACAGCCTAGTTCAGAGAAAATAATACAACTAATGCCAAGGTTAAGTGTAGACCATTAAATGAGAAAGGTAGCTTAGTCAAAGATTTATGAGTTTAGATGATCTGAACATTTCTTACATGTAACAACTCACCATCGTCATCGATACAATTCAAACTGAATTAGTATTAGTTTGGAAGCAAGTTCAGGATGACTAGGTCAAGACTTAACGCTAATCCATGAAGTCTTTGATTGTTATTTTCGAACCTGATAGAAGATGTTGACTTTCAGGATGAAGTCCTTGAGATGATAACTGTTTTATGATGTTTGTCAATCTATTAAATGTAACGCAAAGGTACGTGCTAATATCTATGTATCTGTTCTCGCTCCTCTAGTACATTCTTGTTTGATTTAACATCAGTCTTTCTCTATTGCCATGTAGCAAAGTGTATTGATGCCCTTTTTATATGACAGTATAAGTGTATGTCATACCTTCAGTTTCTTTACTGCTGATGAAATTTTATGGGTCATGAAATACTATTCCGCCAATAAGTCTAGTGGTAAAATACTTCGATGCTGACTAGCAGATATTATCAGTAGGATATATGATTTCGCAGATGAAATGAAAACCTGTGTTATGACAGGATTCTTGCCCCCAGATACTCGTTTGATGGCTTAACTTCACTTTGGTCACGGAAGTTTTTGCTTAGCTACCATATCAATGCATGATACCTAACTGTTCATTGTGATCACACTAGCTACCCAGCTAGCTGTTTGAATCCTACTGTAATTGAAGCTTTAATTACACCTTCGGTTATCACTTCATGTCAATGATACCTGTCTTGATAAACACCAGCTATCTCAGATAGTCTCATCTATATCTTTGTTCCTTGCATCATTTCTCTTTTTCTATGTGACTTTGTATTATGGCAGATGATATTGTCCTGCTAGGTGAAGACGCTGACAAAATCCACAGTCTTCTGAACACCTTGAACAGTTTAATGATAGGGAGTGAAGTGGTGGAATACGTGGACCACTTCATTTACTTGGGAAGTTGCATCAGCCCTAACGGTTTGGTTGCTGATGAAACGTCAGCTCAGATACAGTAGACCTGTTTGACATATGCCTACTTGTGTCATCTGTGGTACCGACTGGTGAGATATCCAACTATCGATGAGAGGACAATTAAACTATGTTGCAGTTCCTTCTGTCCTGCTATACACCTGAGAGACGACCTTCAAAAGTGGAAGAAGATGGTTATAGGGTTTTAATCACAGATGTCCTTGTAGCATTGGTCGCGTTTGGTGGAATCATCGTGTGAGCAACGTTGAGGTCAGGCGAAAGGAACTGAGCGAGACAGGTAAGTCGGTTGATGAGGTTATGAAGCTTAGTCGTCTACCTCAATGGTGCAATGCTAGGAGAAGTTGGATTAGGTTGGTAGTTTAGGTTAGTGAGATCATGACGTGGCAGCAGTCAATGAGATACCTGACTGTTGGCTTGAGTCGTGTTCGGAAATGTAGACTGCTTGTTTGAGGTCCCTCTGATGAAAGAAATCAGTGATTGAGAACTGTTGGAGACATGACTGAAAATCAGTGGCGCAGATGCATTTACTCCTTGACATCTTCTAAAGCCTGAATATTTAAACCAACCTTTATCTTTTTTAATATCACTCCTTTTTCTATCCACCTGTTCTTTGTATACTACTGGAAAGTGTAGCAACTTGAGTAGATGCATGTGTACAGGGTTCTACATTGATTTCGTCAGTCAGTTAGTCGTGCTAGCCTTAAGTGATATACCATTGAGTTCATCAGTTAGTCAATTTATAAAGCATTTGGTTGGAAGGAATTCGGAATTTTCTGAATAGTATACATTTAGTTTCATTATTGAATACAATTAACAACTATAAGATTGTTCAACGTAATATACTTGGTGATGGTGCTAGCATTTGAATCCAGCATGCTTATTTCAACCTTTTTAGGACACCTCAGTCAGACATGCCCGCATCGTGGTTAACGATTTTCTTCCTACGAAAATCTGAACATAATGCACACTAATTAAAGTACCAAATCAGGCACATGCAACTGACGAGTCCTAAATGGGACGAGATGAGCGTCCTAGATTCTAATGACAGCTACCACTAAGCAAATTACAAGATGATGAACAGTCAGACAATGTTGAAATATCCGCATAGATGCCACCATATGCCAACAGAGGTCGACAAATTCAGTCCAGAATAACAACAGGAAATTACGAGTATCAGTAAAAAATAATAATTGTTCAAAACCTCTGTTCATGAAGACTTAAGTCAGAAGATCATCGATAATACCATTTGAAGATCCTCACCATCATTATTCAACTAAGTTAGTGGATAATTTCACGGTTACTTCATTCAAATGTTGTTATAATGAGATATCGGGGATATATTGGGTCAACCAAGTCGGAAATGAGGACGGATGCTGTTCTGTGACATCCAGTAATGGTTGCACTACATTACAAATTAGTGGACAATTGAATTCGATTGCAATGATTGAATTGTAAAGCGGTCATCGTGAGACCTTATCATTATGTTACTGGATAGCATAGGTGGTTGTCAGTGTACACTTTTTACAAGCCTACCACACTGGAACGAAACAGCTGTCTAGTACTCCAACTAATTTCATTTCATGATGAAGATTACTTCTTATTTTACTATCAAATTAACGAATTAACTAACTTCATTACATTTAATTTCAACACTTTTACTCACTGCAAAAATGGTTGGTAAATTCGATACATCAAGAATACTTTATTTTTATGATTATTATCATTATTTGTCTCTTGGGTTCCTTGTGGAACATACGGCTTCACTAGAACGTCGACATTTCACTCTCTTCTCTACAGTCTTTTCCACCTGGCTCCACAACTCCCCACAACCTTTCATTTCTTCCTCACACCATCTCCTTCATATCACCCTCGCCTCAGACACCCAACTCGTCGTTCCCCACCTGGGTTCCACTCGAGGGACTGGTCTGGCTTGACGCGTGATGTCTCCAATCGGCCTTCTCAGTGTATGTCCAATCCCATCCAACCCATTTCCACTTTCTTCTTCTGGATATGTGTTGGGCGATAGCTTTTTGCTTCGTTGGTTCGTTGCTAGAGTTCCTTGTTGTTTATTCTTATTATTCTGGCCATCTGATCGATCTTCAGTATGGAGTGGGCGTAGGTGTAGGCTGCAGGTGTTTATGTAATGTATGTGTGTAGTTTGTTGGAAATGCTTTTCGTGACGTGCCAAGTTTCTCAACCATCACATAAAAGCAGTGACTTACTTGACTGAATTAGTCTCGAAAATTCGGATGTTGTTCATGCTTTATGCTGAGTGGAGTGGAGTGGAGTGCAATAGATCTCCACACTGATTTGAGGTCAATGAAGGAAGGCCTGTGTTGCTGTCTTTCCGATCCTGACTTTTGACATCCTCATCTGTGCCACCGCCGTCTCCTGTAGTTGAAACGATACTCTCTAGGAAGATAGGTGAACGAGACAACTTCCTTCAGATTTCTCCGGTTGATGGTGATTGGTGCTTGTTGTTGTTGTTGGCTTGATATCTTCATAACCTCTGTCTTCTCTACATTCGTCTGAAGGAAATGTCGTCTTCGCTGCCCTGCCCTGCCTCTTCTGCCAGCTTGTTAGTTTTCGCCTGTAGATCTTCGAGTTTGTGCGACAAGATATCAGACATAAATCCATAATCGGTGAAATCCAAATCTTCTTCCGAAGTCTTTTCATCGGTCCAGCTATCGTATCCCCATGTTCTCAAAAATACCTTGCCTTTCAATAATTACCTATCTAAATTTATAAATAAATTCATAAGAAATCGAAGTAGAAATATTAGCAGTGATAGTAGTAGTAGTAATAATACAGGTGTTGATAATAACAGTTCTACTACTAGTAGTAATAATGGCGACAGGTTTGAGAGAGAATTCAAAGCCTCTACTGTGTTATCATACAAGGAAGGCATCTCAGAAGCATTACGAAACTTTCTCAATAAGACTGGCTGGGATTGGAGTAGCATTTAAACCAACAAACTCGCTTAGAAACAAATTTTATAGGTTAAAAGATCCTATCGATGCAATTAAGCAAAATTATCTGGTTTACTAAATCCATTGCGATGATTGCGAGATTAAATACATAGGTGAAAGTAGTCGACCAGAGTCGATTAAAATAAGAGAGCATATAAGCTTAGCTAAATCAAGATTAGTAGATCCTTACAAGATAAGAACTTTAAAGAAAAGCTCGACTATAGCTCTATATATAATCACCCAGTAAGGTGGGATAAAGCAGTAGGCTTAAAAACCTAGTTGGGTGAAGGGAGAGAGAGAGAGAGAGAGAGAGAGAGAGAGAGAGAGAGAGAGACAGATAACCAAATCTTTGTTTATCGAACCAACATCAAATACGTGCAGTAACACAAATGATTATGTATCTGTCCTTATCATCACAAAGAAGGATAAAAAAAATTAGGAATATATAAACTCTGTCTCGAAGTTGTGGAGTTACCTGATATGAATATGGACAATAAATTGTGTCCGAAGCGTTATCCAGTATATGATACTATTCTTTCATTCTTAATAAATAGACTAAAATGGAAGTTGGTAAATTGATTGAATATCTTGTCTAGTAGTTACCTATTCAATATATGTTACAATTATTATACTATGCGTAGAAATAAAAGCGACCAGGTGATAAAATCTGTTCTATCCCTGATACAGGATACCTGTAAAGTAGCAGTAGTATTAGTCTGTAAGGCATACATAAGCACATATGTGTGCTTTTATACACCTGGTAGATGGAAAATAAAACAAACGAAGGATTCTTACTATTTCTAACATACACACTAGATAATTTATTTGTCTGTTTAAAAGATCTAAAATGTTTTGGTGTATTTCTTTGCTTAATAATCTTGTTGATTCATAATATAAAGCAAACTATTTTCACAGTGTTTTCTTTCTTATCCAACAAAGTAAACTAGTTCGCCTTTATTAATGAGTACATTGAATTCAGTGAAGTGATATTCAGATAAGAAATATGAATTAACATGGTACAGATTATACTAATCTATGAGTCAGATTTATTACTTATATTGAAGTAGTTGGAATGAAGTTTGAATTGGATATCCCATTTGAGAATTCTATCTGGGCATCGACCTTGATCCTAAGCCCCCCGATAAAGAGAGAAGGTTCGATATACGGCTATCAACTCTACCCCGAAAAATCTATTCAGTCACTAAAGAAACTTGTAGCACAGAGAAAATATAAAAAATAAAAATAAACTTATTCCTCATTGGAATCAGGGAGACGAAATGACGCCAATTGGTGAAAGTCTTTGAGAAGCCAGTCGGCCGATGTATCTTCGCCTACCTCGATGAATGTGAAAGTAAGGATGGGGACATGGAATGTCAGCACATTGTTTGAAGCTGGTAAGGCTGACCAGATTACAAAAGTAGTGAGAAGATATGGTATAGAAGTGCTACGAATCCGCGAAAGCAGATGGAATAGAGGTGGACTCTCCCAACTGTCAACTGGAGAATCAATAATCTACTCCCATATTGTCACCCTGACAGCAACCACGACCACACTGAGTTTTCGAGTGGCTATCATGATGTCCCCTCCCAAGAGTATCGAAGGCTCTTTCTCTCTCATGCAGTGGGAACCAATCTCCTCCTGCAGGATCATCACAGCAAGATTCAACTCAAAAGGAAGGAAAGTCACAATCATACAACGCCACATATACTACGCACATACAAATAATCCAGATCAAGAGATGAAGGAGGAGTTCTACAGACAACTTCAATCAATAATACACAAGACCCCGCCTCATATGGTGACGTGAAAATTCTAATGGGTGACATAAATACCAAACTCGGAGCGGACAACACAGGAAGAGTACTCATTATGGGTGAAGAAGCACTTGGTGAAATGATGAACAAGAATGGAGAACTGTTTGCAGACTTCTGCGCATTCAACGATTCGGTGATTGAAGACAGTGTATACAAACACTTTTAAGGATATTCACAAAGTGAAATGTGTTCGATTTCATTAGACACCAGATGGACACACTAGAAATCAGATTGACTTCTTTTGAAACTGGCTGGCAAGACTGCTCAGATTGCAAAAGAAATGAAAAGATATGGTATAGAAGGGCTAGGCTAGGAATTTCCGAAATCAAATGGAATGGAAAGTGGACTCTCTAAACTGTTAACTAGAGAGTCAATAATCTACTTCGGTCATCCAAACGACAATCACGAGCACATTGAGTTTTCGAGTGACTATCATGATATCCCTAAGAGCATTGAAATAATCGACCTTCATCGTTTAAATCAAAAGTCTGAATGTATCTCAATTCCTATTTCATGTAAAAAATACATTCACTTTTTGTTTGATATTTGTAACTTCCAGTTGCTATACAGAGTTGAATAGCTCGATTTCTGTTGACAGATGGACTCCCATGCGTATACCTCGATACTACCAGATATTCATAATGTTGTATTCATCCTGATGACTAATACTGGAGTCCCATTTGGGACTCATCAAATGGATATACATGCACCTGAGTGAGTGATGTCATCTCTTCTGAATCTTGAACTTGGTATCCTTCGCTTTAAACGTCAAAGCGTTATCTACTGGGGCATGACAATTAACTATTGGGCAATATATATCAGATATTATTCGATTTTTGTAATTTCGCGTTCCTATACTACTGGGTTGAATCGCTTCACCTTCACTGCTAGCTGGGCTTGGGGCATGAGTCTCAGTTGGGGTGCACCGCCACTCGCTAGAATGCAGGTATATTGAGCTGAAAAGTCTTAAGTAAAGTGAAACACAAATCCTACATCCTACTACTAGTCACTAAGATGAATACAGTATACTCATTCTGTTAATCCTCAGCTAAAAAGTATGGCTGACAGTTTAGTCACTGGTTTCTAGATAGTTAAAGTCATATAGTGTCTAGGATTCTAGGTTCTATAATTCTTCGACGTCTGAGTGGAGCTCGGGAACAACAAGCCCGAGAAAACGAAGCAGGCTTTAGGTCTGGCCGTGGATATATTGACCAAGCATTCACACTGCGCCAGGTTTTGGAACACAGATACGCTTACCTGCGCCCGACACTTGCTGTATTTCTCGACCTGAAGGCAGCATCTGACTCCGTTGATCGAGAAGTCTTATGACAATGTCTCTCACTGAAAGGCGTGTCGAGTAAGTGCATCATCTTATTGAAGGCTCTCTACTCCAACACTTGTGGATGTGTTACAGCCTACGTAGAGATGTTCATGAAGCTATGATCATCGAGTGGTGTCTGTTAAGGGTGTCCATTCTCCCCATTCTTATTCAATTTTATCACAGATATTCTTATGGAGGTTTCCCTCTCGTCACGTGATTACACAGACGTTTACCTAATCAGTGGAGAACTTCGAGCCATATGGGACGATGCAGACTAGGTGGTTGCGGTCCACGGGACAAGAGGGACCAGTGATTGGAGACTCTAGATGATATGGCTCAGAACCGATATCAGTGGCGCAGATGTATACATACATTATCGTCATCTTAACGACACTATACCGAATCTCACCACTTTCTCGTTCTTCTTTTCCCTCTTTTCGTACTTTTTGTTTTTTTTTGACTGCATTCTCTTATCTTCATCGTGGACCTCACTGCCTTTTTACTTGATGTACTGATATGAGGTGTGGCAACTCGGACCGTTACGCAGTAATGTTTGGTCCTAGGTTGATCTGGATGGATAGATGAAGGTTACATTTCAACTCATTTAAGATTCCTTGACTGCTAATGGTATGAATTGGTTACAGTGGTAGTATATCAGCACTGTAATTCTATTTTACCACCGAGGTACAACTGAAAAAGTAAAAAGAATCTTAAAAGAAACTCGGAACTATGACTTTCTACTATACAACTAACACTCTTAGAAATTCAATTTTAAGGTTTGCGGAGATTTATTGATTTTAGGTTGGTGTTCATCATAGACTGACATTAGTTGAAGAAACATTGGAAACCCAAGAGAAATGGAAATCTGTTTCCTCCTAGTACGGAACTCCACCAATGCGCACCCATGAACATTAGCCAGACCCCGCGGTCACACATTGCCGTTGGGAATCTAATGATCCACATTTCTTACTTCTGCCAGTTTACGATATAGCTTGACCTTCATCCAATGCCGTCGTTGAGTAAATGTCTTCATGTTCGAATTGGTTGGTAACGTGCTGGCCGCGGAACCTGAAGTTCCCGGGTTCGATCTCTGGTGGGATCATAGGTGTGCACTGCTGAGGAGTCCTATAATGGGACGAAACAGCTGTCCAGTTCTCCCGTAATAAATACCAACCTGGACTCTTAGAAATGCTTTGATTCACAAAAAAAAACAAAATACCCTTCACCTCCACATAAAATAATGTCTTGAGGTTAGACTGTGTTTATTCTGATGTCTATTACATTGGGGAAATCATCCCACGAGCTGAATAGAGCATGTAAACTCCACGAAACGACCCTGAAGTAATCCCATAGAAGTGAAGAATTTGCAAATAGAATCTACAAATACGATTTACGTCATCTTTCATAGTCACAAAATTGACATTGAAACCATCAAAATTATTGTAAAAGGATTGGCAAACCATGGGGAATGACAGGTTGCTGAGGCATTTCTTATTATTTCAACATGGAGTAACTTGTGTGAATAAACGGCCTCCATGAGATTGTGAAACGTCAGGGACTTACTTCTCTAGTTCATTTATTTATTCATTTCAGGTTGGTATTCAACATGGACTGATATTAGTTGGACAACCACTGAGAATCTCGGTGGAATGGCAGTATGTTTCATCCTAGTATGGGACTCCTCAGCAATACGCACCCCATAAACCAGCCAATCACTATTGATTCACTAGGTCAGAATCCAGTGAACCACATCTCCTACTTCTATGAATTCATGATATAGTGCAATCTCCATTCAGTGCCGTTGTTGAGTAACTGCTGTCACTTTCAACTTGGTTGACCCTATCGATCATGACTTGTTATTCGAACTTCAGGAGATCTTATCTCGAAGAGTATCATCAATAAGGACTAGTTTATCATAAATGTATATAACTTTACTAAGCAATCATTTAACATTAAGTCTATAACAGTCATGGTATATACTTTTACTAGGTTGCACCCATAGTTCCCTTTTGGACCAGGAATCATCTATTATCTACTTATTTCGTGACTTGTTATTATTTTCAATGTCCTTACTTTGAAAATTCTTTCATTACACAGATATTTATCTTTTCAGCTACTTTTATAACCTTTAAAAAGATCTAATTTTTTGGATAATTATTTCAATAAAACTATTACTTATCCATACTTTGTATTCACTGTTTCATATGTTTTGTTTTAGTGAAAGAAATTGATCAATTAGCATTATTATTATCCAATAAAGAACATGATCTACAAGTATGCCGACAAAGAGCAGATGAAGCTGAACGTATGTTGACTTTAATTAGTCAATGGCATAATGTTATTGCAAGTGCACGTCGACAGACAATGAATCAAACAGGAACAACAACATCAACTCCAGCCAATGAAATGTCTTCTTCTTCTTCTCCTCCTCCTCCCCTCAGTTTGCCTTTTATGCAACCACCTTTCTTTACTGAATTGGTAAGTACTTCCTTCCTCTTTTTTTTTTCTCTCTGAGATTTCCTTATTGTCTTTTTATACATAACTTGTAGGTAAGTTTGTTTGAATATTAAGTTATCAATAGGAAGGTGTCAATAAACAATTCTGTTATTATGAAAATGATGTATTTTAGACAATGACTTGTGTTTGTGTATTACTCTTTCACCTATGCTCTCCTAGAAAGTATAAATCCATTTTAGATGAAGATAATCAACCAACGACAGCAACAATAAGCACCATCAATGGGAGAAATCTGAAGGAAGTCGTCTCTTTCGCCTACCTTCCTAGACAGTATCTTTTCAACTACAGGCGGCGTCGATGACACACCTAACAATGTCAAAGCCAGCATCTGAAAAACAGCAACACAGGGCTTCCTCTATTAATCTGAAGTAATCAGTGTGGAGATCTACTGCACTCCACTCCACTCCACTCAGCATCAAGGAGGAGAATCGGATTTTCAGCACTAATAATATCAAGTAAGTCAGTGCTTCGATGTGATGGTTGAGAAACTTGGCACGTCACGAAAAGCATTTCCAACAAACTACACACAAACATCACATGAACAGCTACCACCTACGCTCACTCAACACTCACAATGAAGATGAGATGGATGGCGAGAATAATAAGAATAAGCAAGAAGGAAGTTTGGCTGACCTGGTAACGAAGCAACCAACAACATATCGCCTAACAAATATGCAGATGGATTGTACATAGACTGAGAAGACGGTTTTGGGACATCATGTGACACTGTAGGGGAAAACTGTAGTGGGAAATGACGATTTGTTTGTCTGAGGTGAGGGTGATATGGAGGAGATGGTGTGAGTAAGAAATGAAAGGTTGTGGTGATTTGTGGAGCGAGGTGGAAAAGACTGTAGAGAAGAGAGTGAAATGTTGATGTGCTAGTGAAGCTGTATGTCCCACTAGGAACCCAAGAGACAAATAATAATGAGTTGAAACCAAGAAGTAAAGAGTCTACAATAGAGTCAATAAACAGTTATCAGTGTGAAAGGGATTGGGAAGTTAATAACTGAGCTCAAAAATAATCGTTTATATGATATAAAATAGGTGAGAAACAAATATATGATTAGTTGTTGTTAAGATGTATAAAGTTTAATGCGAAAGAAGGATAGTGAATGGGTAAATTTTAACTTAGTAATATCTTATTTCATTGCTTAACTGACAAATTTTTACTCACTTTATTGTATATTTTTCATTTCCTGATTTTAATCACCTTGTCAACTATTTTCACGTGTTCTATATATATTTTTCATCTTCATACTATTTTCCGGATCATACAACTTCATATACAAGAATATTGATCACTCATTTAGTTGAACAAAAACTAGACTTACTGTGGACTAGATTGATTTCAGCTGATAACTTTGTTACTTAATCACCTTCATTCCACTTGAATGGTGACTAGCTTAAAACACCGATCATTGTAAGAAGACTAGAAGACAAGAACTTCTTGTTTGTATTATGTTCTCTGAACTGGGTTGTTTAATCCTAATTCATCGTCTTTCTAGAGAGCGACATCATCAGCACTAACTCCAATATGAAGTGAGTTGTCAATATGTCTCTGTGAGGTTAGTCATTTAGTAGCTTGTCTTGACAAACTGGTTTGTGATATGGTTGTTTCCTGTGATTGTGCTGTTATTGACTGATTGTATAGATTTTCCTGTTGGCTGTTCCTCTGATTGACGTCTAACCTCTCTGTTGTTAATCATTTTTCTTATTGGTTAGTATGATTGGTTGAAATGATAAACAACAGAAAGGTCAGAGGTCAAGCAGAGGAACGAACAGCCAACAGCAAAGTCTATACAATCAATGACAAAACAATAGAAGGAAACAACCAATCACAGGCCACATCGTCAGAGCAAACTATTAAATCACTCACGGAGAGATATTGACAACTCACTTCATACTGAAGTTAGTACTGATGATGTCGTCTAGGAAGATGATGAAAGTTCCACGATTAGACAACCCAGTTCAGAGAACATAATACAACCAAGACTATCCACTTGAGCTACAAATATTCTTCACCATTTCACAAGAACTTCTAACAACTGACTAACTGTATTTTCTTCCATATTCAAAGAGAGAGACCTTCATTTAAATGTGAAAAGGGTGAATAATAAACAGTTTAAAAGGGATAATGATTCTAATGGAAAGAAAACAAGTCGTGGTAATTTATCACAAGTATTAGCATTTTCATGTGGTAACTCACTAGCCTAGTGGATAACGCTTTGACCGTTAAAGCGATCGGTATTCGCTTCAAGTCCTTGTAGAAATACTATCACTCACTATGTGATACAAATGCATCTGACTGATGAGTGCTAGTTGAGACAAAAACATACCTTCTAGATTCCACTGTTAGCGACCACCAAGTAAATTATAAGTTCTTTGTATTATTCACCCCCCTTTCTGGCAGGTAGGTTACTACTTTTGTTTTACATTTCTACAACAGAATATTTCTCATCGATTTCAACTAAAGTTATCAACGTGTTTTTCCTTCAGCTAGTTTTCTCGAATGAGTTTTTTTTTCTGTCTAACTCTTGTATACACATATTCACTCACTGATAGTCAAAACATTTGAATAAAAAGTAATACAGTACAATATATTCCTTCCAGGTTATTGTTCATCATGGATTGACATCAATTGGAGAGACATTGGAAACTTGAGAGCACTGGACAGCTGTTTCGGCCTAGCTCGGAGCTCCTTAGCAATGCGCCAGGGGTCGAACCCATGACCTTCAGGTTCCGAGACCAGCACGTTACTATTGAGCTGCTTGGTTGGCAGCTCATTGGATGGTTTACAGTTCCCTACTTCTCTCAATTCATGATATAACGCAATCCCCTCACAATGCCGTTGTTGAGTAACTGTCTTCATGTTCAACTTCTCATTAGGTATCATCAGGTATCATCTCTCGAAGCTAGTCATCAATGAGGACTAGATTAGTTCAATTTTGAGGTTTGTGAGGATTGGATTTATTAATTTCAGGTTGGTATTCATCATGGATTGACATCAGTTAGAGAAACACTGGAAATATGTGATGACGAAGTAGCTATCGATTGCTGCCAGATTTTCAATAGTTCTTCAACTGGTGCCAGTCCATGATGGATACCAGCCTGAAATCAATAAATAAATAGCTTTAAGCATCCAAACGGTGTATTCGGTTGTTGTTTTTTTTTTGAATCAGTGTACTTAAAGCTGAATTGTTGTACATATTCACTGGGACGAATTGACACATGGACACACAATTATTATTTATTATTTTTGTCCCTTGGGTTCCTGGTGGAACATACGGCTTCAGTAGCACGTCTCCAGTGCACTCTTTTCTCTGAAATCTTTTGAACCTGGCTCCACCACTGCCCACAAGCTCTCATTTCTTCCTCACACTCGTCTCGGATGCCCAACTCGTCGCTTCCCATCTGGATTCCGTTCGATCGACTTTCCTGATGCGTGATGTCCCCAGTTGGCCTTCTGAGTGTATGCTCAATCCATCTCCACTTCCTTCCAGTGCATATTTGTTGAGCGATAGCTTCTTGCTTCGTTGGTTCGTTACTAGAGTTCCTTGTTGCTTATTCTTATTATTCTGGTCATCTGATCTTCAGTATCGAGCCAGCGCAGTCAGTTGTTGATGGATGTCTGTAGTTTGTTGGGAATGCCTTTCGTAACCCTCCAAGTCTCTGAACCATATAAGAGCATTCACTTGATTCAATTGGTGTTGAAAATCCGGATCTCGTTGGTTATGCTGAGTGCAGTGCAATAGGTCTCTACACTGATTTCTGGTAATGAAAGCCTGTGTTACTGTCTTTCCGATCCTGGCTGGCTTTGACGTCCTCGTCTGTGTCGCCTGTAGTTGGGACAGTGCTGCCTAGATAGTTGAAAGAGGCTAATTCCTTTCTTTTGTTTCGCCCATTGATGATGATTGTAGCTTGTTGTTGTTGATAGTGGCGTTGGTTGGGTATCATCATCACCTCTGTCTTCTCTACGTTAACTTGAAGTCCCGTCTTCGCTGTCCTACCTCCTCTGTCAAGTTGTTAGTTTTCGCCTGTAGATCTTCAATTTTGTGTGACATTAGACATAAGTCATCACTGGCGAAATCCAAATCTTCTAGGATCCACACTATATGTAAAAGAATTATTATTATCAATAAAATTTTAATGATTATCTTCCTTTTTTCTCCCTTTTCCTCTCTCTCTCTCTCTCGTTCACTGCTTTAGGATAAGAAACGTTGGCATGATGGACTTGTTGAAGCAGATCGTTTAGACAGACAATTTGCTGCGGTTTTTGGACGTAAACCACCAATACAAACGTGGTCATCTAGTCAAAGTAATCTACACTTTGGAAATATACATATACCAGAGAAAAAGTCAACATCTTCACATGTTCCATGTTCAATAGGATCAGTTTCTGTTCCATCTGTTCTACCACCATCCTATTCATTGTATCATCAAGCATATTCTAAATCTAGGTGGGTTCCGATTTATCTGATATTCAATCCATGAAGGAAAATTATAAACTGTAATAGTTATTATTATTATTTGTCCCTTGGGTTCCTAGTGGAACATAGGGTTTCAGTAGCACGTCTCCAGTGCACTCTATTCAGCGTCATTTCGTCTCTCCGATTCCAGCGGGGAATAAGTTCGTTTTTATTTTTTATATTTTGTCTGTGCTTTGAAGTTTCCGTAACAATTGGATTGGTTTTAGGGGTTAGGGTTGCTAGCTTTATGCCCAACCCTCCGTTTCTACCTGGGCTTAGGACTGGCTAGTAACTAGTGAACTAGGTAATCAGGCGTGGTTAAGCTGTAATAGGTGTTTGTATAAATGCCTGATCGTTTTTATTGAGTTGTATGTACTCTTAAATTTGATTTTACTATATTCACGTTGAAATTATTCCGTTCATTGACAAAAAACTGAGGTTAATTATAAGGTGGGATCAAAATTATGTAACGGATAGCTGCTACCTTGTCCTCGTGGTCGGATTTATATATCTAAGTGACTACACTGGCTTAAACGCTTGTTTCATAGGAGTCAGTCCTTACCAGAAACGTCTGTACGACGAAAAGCAGTTACCGTTCTTGTGTAAATTACTACGGTATGATGAAGATCCGGACGCGAAGTCGTACTGCTGGCTGGAATGGGTGCGATAAGAGTAGGGATGATCAGCATTGGCATGCTGATGATACCTTTCCCGGAAATTTCGCCCTCAAAAACAGTACATTCCTCTCTGCCTCACGGTCTTCTGGTGCCGGAGCTATGAATTTTCTTTATCCGACGTTAGAACAGTCAAATCTCAAACCAAAAGTCCTGAAAAGGTTGTGTGTGATAGACTTCAATGAGATATCCCATAAGCTCTGTGGTCACATACGTATTTTTTCTCTTTCGGGTACCTTAAGAAGAAATATCAACTGCATGAACGCTTCCAGTAGTGCACAAGACTCGATCAAGCATAACCTTATCCTCTGTTCTATCCTTTGCCTTCACTTCCTGATACTGATATTAAGCTTTTTATAACTTAACCTCTCACTTTGCGACTGTTTTCAACGACCAAAGCCAATGAAACCTAACTCCTAGTCTCTCAAGACCTCATCCATCCTCCATCGATTTCATGTAGAAGCTTTCAACATTCGAACTGTCTACTAAATAAGACAACAGACATCACTCGCCAAAACTCTGGAATCTCTAGTCATGGATGTGTGCTGTGCCTCTGAGACACGTGTACAGAACCTAAGTGTGGTTGTTACATTGCTCTCATCTGGACATAGTAGTGAATCTTCAAAATTCGTTGGTGTAGGTATAACATTGAGTCGCAGAATACAAAGTACACTTCTTGACTGGATACCAGCCAACGGTTTGTATGGACTAGGAAGGATCATAAGACTAGGCGATACCTATTCATAATCTCGGCCTATGCATTAATATAAGTGAAAAACTTGGGCACTGTGGTAGAATGTAGTTCCATATTAGATTTGTTTATTTGATATAAAGCGCACAGTGATACAGTATTATTTACTTGATTACGTAATCAAGTAAATAATACTGTATCACTCGGCCTATGCAGTTTGGATGATGCGAAGGATGAATTCTGTGAAAAGCTATCAGTTCCCCTACAAAACTCAGAACGTTCAGATATAGTCGTAACGCCAGCTCACTTTAACGCTCATGTAGGGAAGCAAAGGCCAATGGGGAGGGTATCTTGGAGGTATCTACGAAATCCTGCATCAGCGAGCCGCCAATGGTAATCTCCTGTTTCAGTTTTGTTCTGTTAATCAATTGTTTCTGGCTAGCACTAACGTCAGATATAAGGAGAGACACTGTCTCATATGGCGTCCGCCGGATTCAAACTAACGTTAAACACAGATAGATCACATAGCTATAAGCCATCGTTGGAGAGGATCGGTGGAGAATTACCACTTTTTCTAGAGTACGTTAGTCCCGATACGTGTATCTGACACCTTACTGGTCCCGGAAAAGATATGGCAGTTATACCTGTATGGTTGATTGGAAGGTTATAACACCAAGTTTTTCTTTAGTGAGGAGATGGGTAAAAATTCATCTGAAGGGACTAGCTTACTTTCACTTGACTTGAAGTACGCAACCGTTTTTGTGTTATGGAAAGACTCCGAAAAAATGCAGTTTTCTAAAAAGCCTTGAGCAGAAATCCATTTTGCACCTGTCAAACGTAAGATGATGATACTCTAGAACTGGTCCGCAACTACTAGTTTAAGGATATGAAGTGAAGTAGTGGGGAGCGTGGACCACTTCACTTACTTGGGGAGCTATATCAGCCCTAATAGGTTGATTAGTTACGAAACATCAGCTTGGATGCGCGCTTGGGATTTGCCAACTTGCTTCATATCTGACACTCGTTGGCTAGATATCCGACTACCTATTGAAGGACGAGTATAACTCCACTACAGTTGGTTCTGTCCTGGTATACACCTGTGAGACATGGTCATTGAAAGCAGAATATATGAAGAAATTGGTCGGCATTAAGGATTTAACGACATGAAACCGGTTACTTTCCACTGACCAATCAAGGCATATCATCCATTCCTACTGGACATGGTCACTTTTGGTTTGAATATCTCTGTTGCACTTGACGGTAACTTCGGTTAGAATTCCCAAGGGGATATTCGTTCCTTCTCATTTGTAGATACACTTTGCTGACTAGTCCCGAAAATATGAAACTTTATATGTTATTGTGCTGTAGCCTTTCAGTGTAATGAAGGATATTCTGTGATTTGATTAAAAATTCAAGTATTTTTCGCTAATCCACTAATGAATGTTTACCATTTGTTTATCTTATTGATCAGTACCATTTTTCTTCATTGTTTTTTATCCACTTCAGTATCAGACTTTTTCTTTCAATCTTTCTTTTATTCTACTGTTTAAAATTAAGATGACTTGTAATTTTGCACATTATTTGACTAGGTAATACATTATATCTCCTTATTTGTTAGCTGTAGTAATGATGGACAGTGGCTAACAGTGGAATCCAGGATACACATTTCGTCCTATTTGGGACTCATAAGCTGGATGTACCTGCCTAGCAGTCAGTGATGTCGTTCTCATCGGGATTTGTTTCAAAAGCCAGAACGTTATCCACGAGACCACTGAGCCACAATAGCCACTTCTTGTGTGATGGGTATAGTTTTAGTATAATTGCTTGTATTATACCATCGTTGATTGAACCTTTGCACCCGTCATACAAGAAGTGGTAGTCTAGTAGATAACGCTCTGGCGTTTGAAGCGATCTGTCCCGAGTCTGACTGTCGGTGGGAACAACATGACTGACTGGGAAGCAGGTACATTCAACTGACGAGTCCCAAAATGGACGAAATACGTATCCTGGATTCCACTGCTAGTCACTATCTTTCATTACTATAATTAAAACACAGATAATATCGAGGCATCCGCAGAGGAGGGCATATGCCAATAGAGACCAATCAATTCAGTCCAATCAACGACGGTAAAATACAAGCAATTATACTATTTCTTAGCATATTAATGATGGAAAGTAGTTGGTAATAAAATCCAGGATGTTTATTTTGTCCTATTTATGACTGAGCTGGATGTACCTGCTTCCCAGTGACCGGTGTTGTTCCTACTAATACTCGAATCCGGGACCATTCGTTTCAAACTCTAAAGCGTTATACACCAGGCTACCGAGTCATTTTGAACCATATCAAAGGATAATACATCATCATCATCATCATCATTATCAACATAGGACCAGGCATTACTGCGTAACGGTCCGAGTTGCCACACCTCATATCAGCACATCAAGTAAAAAGGTAGTGAGACGAAGGATGAAGATAAGTGAATGCAGTCAAAAGAAATATAAAGTACGAGAAGAAAGGAAAGAGGAGTGACAAAATGGTGAGATTCGGTATAGTGTCGTTAAGATGAGGATAATGTATGTGGGGATACATCTGCGCCACTGACATCGGTTCTGAGCCATATCACCTAGGGTCTCCAACCACTGGTTCCTCTTGTCCCGTGGACCCCAACCGCCTAGTGTGCATCGTCCTACATGGCTTAAACCAACAGTCAGAGACTTCATACATTGGTGCCATGTTTTAGTCTGGCCACCTGGGGCCTTTTTCCAGCCTGGAGCTACTTCAGCCAAGATTGTGTGACGCGGCAATCGGTGACTAGGCATACGTAGTACATGTCCCAACCATCTCAGTCGATGAAGGTTCACAGCCTCGTCAACTGACTTACATCTTCTCCCTAAAACTCTACACCTAACTTCTGCATTACTCACGTGGTGACACCACGGAATACGTCCTATACTACGAAGGCAACGGTGGTCAAATACCTGTAACCTTCTCATGTCTTCCACTTTCAATGGCCATGTTTCACAGCCATATAGTAGAACAGAGTGGACTGCTGTGTAGTACACGCGACCTTTAATAGACAAACGAATATCACGGCGGCACCATAGGTGGCGCAAATCGGCAAAAGCCAATCGAGCCTTTTGTATCCTTGCCGAAATCTTATCGGCAACTAACCCACCGGGGTTGATCCTACTTCCTAGGTAAGTGAAGTGGTCAACACACTCAACCACTTCACTCTCTATTGTTAGCCACTGTGGGGCACCGCTGAAGACCAGTCCTGGAGCAAAAATTTGCATTTGGGTGGTGGTGGATAATACAAGTGACGACATTATTTGTTTTCAGTTTATTCAGTTTTTCTCTATTACTTTTCAACAGTATTTATCTTTACTGTAAAAGAAGTCGATAAGCCATGATGTTTTTCAACAGCTAGCCACTACCTATCATTACTATAATTAAAACACAGGCAATATCGAGGCATCTGCACAGGAGCGGATATACCAATAGACACCGATCAATCCGGTCGAATTAACGACGGTATAATACAAGCAATTATACTAAAACTATACCCGTCACATAAGAAGTGGCTATTGTGGCTCGATGGTCTAGTGGATAACTCTCTGGCGTTTGA